TACCTAAAGCATTAATATGGGTGATAAATGTAATGAAACTCCCTTTGATCACAAAGAAAATATTTTAGTTCATCACAATCGGCCAGTACTGTATTTTCAATCTATTCCCATTGGAGCCTTTAAGAGCCTACATGATGATGACATACGCTTCATTAACCTAATCACAGTTTCATGTGAGTAATGGAGGTTTGATTCAACTTCATGGGTGAATTCGTCGTGTATATATAGCAAATGAAGCTTGAACTGAAAAGTTAGGAAGCACTGGACAGCTGTTTCGACCTGGTTGGGTCTCATCAGTAGTGCAAGTTCATCGATCCAACTAAGGATCCAACCCGAGACCTCACAGGCGAAACGTAAGCATGCTACCCACTCGGCCACCGAGCAGCTGATCAGACTGCTTCTGATTTTCATCTACACGATACAGCACAACCCATCTTTTCGAGCTTGTTGCGGGCCTCGGACCTCATCTCAGCACTAGCCGCCAGGTTAGGACTCAGTTGGAAACATTTACAACCTGACTATTTGTTTTATGTGAGTGATGGAGGATTTGATTTAATTTCAAGGGGGAAATTGGTCGTGTATATTGCAAATGAAGTTGGCTCATCATCTGAACCAGACAGCAGGCATTTGTGTGGATTCCCGCTCAATAAAGGCATTTACCAATTACACCTGAAAACTTCGCAATTCCATTATGCTTATAACCGAATTGTCGATGGGAATCATATCAATCACAGTGAACATACGAACGAAAACTTACAGATTAATCGCGGATAAAGTAACATGAATTCAAATACCAAAACTCATTTCCACGGACAATAACCGAGTTTATTTTTAGTTCTCTGCCGGACTGAAAAATATCGTGGGACAGCAGACGAAGCGCAGTTTTTGGCACATACATATACTACAGTTTGTTTTATCTGCATTACTAAGCACGTGGGTTTCCATTTTCTCAATCTTATTGATTGGAATTCCTCATTCCCTCGGTTCTAGCTCATGGTTAGATGCTGTGTCCAACGCATCTTTGGACGCGTTTCAAAAGAGTCTTATCTATGCAAGTCGTTTACGAGATTCCGCACTTCTGACCACCAATTCCATTTGCATTTGGACGCATTGTTTGCCTGCAATATGCAGCGCAGATCACACGCTGCTGGTGCCGACATTCCAGGTGGGTAACGGAGTTTTGGTTGATAGATATCTATCATTGACACAAAAGTTACGGTGCAAATTATTATTATTGTTACTATAACTAGTAGTATTATTCAGAGAAACTAGTTTTATTCCATGCCTACCTTTTACACAATAATGGAATTTTCAAAATAAATTTTATTGCTCGTTTTTTTTAACTAATACTTGTCAAGTACGATGCAAAGTCAAGGAGTAAACTTCTTAATCATTAAGATTATGATACACTAGAGATTGGTGAATATGCATAAGAAACAACTTTTCGATTCTGCTCTCCAACACAGAATGGTTTTAGAGGGGGAGGGGGACTGAGTACGAAAGAGCGTTTCACAACACCGCGGATTTCGGAAAAAGAGATGGATTGATCTAAATCACTTAGTCCGTTAGAATCACCTGCTATTTACGGCTTAAGGTGTTTTACCGGGTCTCTCAAGTAATAAGGAGTCTAGGGGAGGACCATATCGATAGTTGTTGAAGCCCATAATTCGGGAGTAGCAAAGACCAGGTGGGCAAGATAGTGATCGCACAACAACGGACAAGTGGTTTGAGAGTGGATGTTACATATGGATCCGTGGTCAGGCAAACGGCTTTATGCTGAACACGGTCGAGAAGTGCAAACGAAGAAGAAGAGGCCTTGTGTCAGACGAGGCCACAACATACCGTGGCGGAGCGAATGTGGTCCTTAGATAGCGATAGAACACGCGAAAGGGTCAGCAACCACTGCGTAACGAAAAGATAAAAATTCATCTTGGTTACACGTGTAGCGAGCTCAGCTATATGCAGCGACCAATATACGGAAAGAGTAAACTGGAGGTTAAGTATACGCGTGGAGCAATGGAAGCGAAGTCAATAAGAATTTGTAGGATACATACAAACAGGGAGATTTTCCTGACATTAAAAACAACTCATTTTCATGTACTCAACACAACGATCACATGCAATCGATCGCATAGTATAGTGACAGAGGAACCAAGGGAATGGGATTAAGAAGGGAAACAAAGTAGGTGGTATTTTTCAATTAGCAACTTGAGGTCATCGTATGATTACTCTGCTTTCTGGCATGATAATATTTTTTTCTGTTGTCCAACCAGACAATTGTCGATTGTGCCAACAAAATTGGTCCAAATGCGTTACCGGTTGAAACATACGCCGAAGTTGCCACCGTACTTGCTCACGGTCTAATTCAGCCGTATCTTCCAAAGTTTGATATTCTTCAACTGTACAATAGTGACTCACAAAAAGGCACAATTGATGCGGAAAAATCTATCAATCGAAAGACGGTCAAAAGTCCCAAAACAGCTAGAAAATCAGCAAAACCGACCGTCTTCACAGTGAGTTTAACACCGGTTTATTGCAAACAGAAGAGTTTATGTTGTGCTCCATGGATTTATATTTGAAATTCCTACGGATTTTGACTATCCATGCTTTTGAATTCATCTTCACAGCCGATCCACCGTTCATTTGGCTAACTATAAATTCACGAAACAGCATACGACCACCACCACCACCACCTCCTCCACCACCCTCAAGTGAAACCGTATGTTTTTACCTGACTATTTTGTTCACTAAACTGAATTCATTTAATTTTCCTTTCTGAATTAACAAACTGAACCTTTTACGTTCTTTTTGAACCTCGAGATTATATTCGTTTTTGACTCTGTGACGATATAATTTTATCCCAGGTTACGCCAGAAGCTCAAACTGTACTAAAACAAGCCAATGACATAATCGCATCGGCTGCAAAAATTGTCGAACAAGCCGAGTGTGTGACAGACATGGAAGTTAGCTCACCGGAATATGTCGTTCAACGTGCCATGCCCCAATTGATTTCACTCAAAACTCGAAGTCGCCTTATTCGCACGTGGCTCACCATCCGACAGTTGAGTTCTACTGCACCCGTTTGCAAACCGATTCTACCAAATGAGGATCGAAATGCCGATCAGAACAATTCGAGAATTGCTCAGCTGACCTATCGTGGATCTGCACTGAACCGCGCTCTGGTGACTGTCTACTCCATTTGGTTGTCCAATGAGAATACAATTTTGACGGAATGGCCAAATTTGCTGACCAAATTAACGGGTTCTGATCGGGTGGATTTTTCAGTGAAAACATCCATTCTGCCGATGCCTTCGTTTAAAGATGCGCCCAGCTTGCAAGAGGTAAGTTCGAGGTAATTGACGGATCCGTTTTTTTCGGTAGACGTTAAAAATACCTGTGTATTTTGCCTTACGCAGTTCATTTAGGCTTTACCAAAAGACAAAACAGACTTATGTGCTAAAATCACTACATCATTCTCAACCGGGAATTTACCGAAATTTACTAATCAGCATGGTTTTCATACTCATCATGTAGACACAGTTTTGATTTACCGATGTGTTTTTGAGCGTCACTACAACCACCACCACCACCGAAGTGCGTATGAACAGGTGACTGTAGCATCAGTAACGCGAACCGTGCTATGCAAATTAGGAAATACAACGTTAAACCTGGTCGCTTAAACAATACGTAAGTGGCTACTAAAATTAGTTTTGCAACGTCTGAAGTGTTCCTGTAAATGTTCTGCGATATTTCTCAGGGAAAACGATCCATCAAAATAACTGGGGACACCAAAGTTCAGATATTGTTACGTAATCGAAGTGCTAAACGTTTGACAATTAGTGAAGCACTGCTTATTAGATTGCATCACTCGACCTTGTGCACACAAAAATATTTGATACAATGAATCCACTTACCGTGGAATTGACCTTCTACTTCTAAATTTAATAATCCTTGTGTGCTTGTACACGTCCGTTCACCATAATTGAATAATCCCATATGCTATATATGTGCCTGTTTGTTTTAATTCTGGGACTGAGAAGAATAAACGAAATGGTAACATCTCACTACATTTGTCTTCTTTCTGTATTGATGATATATTATTTAGTTTAATAACGCAATTCGTTTATCTGAAATCACTGATTCCCATAACCGAACGGCATATGTTAGTCACTTTAGGCTCACTATGTTCTACCGTTCGGTACTTTACGCTATCTAATAATCTCCCTGTCTATTTTCAAGTCATCTTCCAAGAGATTCGTTGAACGTATCTGCACAAAACCATTTAGGATTGGTTAAACTTGAGTGAAAAATACCACAAGTAGTGATTCACTTTTAAAATGTTTGAAAAAGATATTGAGAACACTGTGACGAAAATGCTCGTTTTTAGTTATACATAATCATTGCAATCCATAAAACTAAATAAGATGATCAAAATCAGGAGGAAGGATGACAAATTACACTCCTAATGGTTCAGATTTAGCTCAGAACGTGTGCGTGTGTAAAATTAGTCAGAGTGTCAAAGGGTTCGTGCAAATGTTGGGGAAGACGAATCGGACCAAGGAAGGTTAATTGTTTTCACAAAGGTCCTCTGGGCACGTAGCGGGGGGTGGGGAGGGGCGGGGGCGGTTGATGATCCGAATACTTACGACCTCGACCGTAGTCAGGATACGATGCTGCTCTCGATTGCCCACATCGTACCCTGTAGATGGATCGAAATGCGATCTCTACACCCACTGTGTGATTCCATTCAACGAAGTGTGACAACATCGCACTTGTAATTGACCTAATTGTCCCCGATCTCAACCAAGTCGGGTGATGTTCACGAATGCAATGAGATAAGCACCTGGTCATGCGATCAGTGGATCCGGTCAGACAGGAACAGGTGAGTGAGTACATACAAAAAGAAGCACTCCATCTTCAGTCGAAAACACATATTTGGTTTGAAAATCTGGAACGGTTTGTTGACCAGTTACTGCAAAAAATATAAAAACTGACCTAAGGAAATAGGGGCCGTCAAGAAGCCTGTATATGTTCATCTGCCGGTCAAAGGAGACAGAGGCTGAAATTGTCCAAAGAAGTTTCTCAGTTGTACACCATATAACATTTCACACTACAGAAGTAAAGAAACGCTATTTCCCGGAGTAGTACCGTCTATGACTAGTTACGAACTAACTTAAAGTCATTCAGGGAGAGGTTGTGAAAAGAAGCAGGTTGATTGAAGTCTCTTAATAGGTGATACTAGGTTCCCCAAAATGGTACACCCAATGGGGACATTAATTCAAACACAGATCTATAAAAAATCGTTGCACTCAAGCATCTTTTCTCATTTCAGCTCATTTATTAGGTATATGTATATCATGATACAGAGTATTTTCTCGTTTTTTGCGTTCTTTCTTCTAACGACGAAACCCCTTGTGGATGATGAAAAACTTCGTTTCACATTACTTCATGTACAGGCTGTGGACACGATGAAACAGGCATTCTTCTACGAGCTGAAGTCACTGAAAACCAACTTATTAGATGAGGAAGATGAATCAGATAATGTGGATCGCGTTCCTGGGCGTGAAATTTCCCGCCCGAGTTTGTCAGTCACTGACCGCTGTGTTGAACTGGAACTCTGGACTTGTTTGGCTCTGTACGCCATCCACACGGAACAGTACACCAAAGTACTGAATATGACAAGCTTTATCAGTTTACCTAAAGCACCCGACCCGCAATCACTTGCTCTAAACTACTGGGTGGCACGATTGTATGATTTGCGTGGCGTGGCTGTGCTCGGATTGGCCGAACAGCTTCGATTGCAAAAATTTGGCTCAGAACCATTGAGTGGAAAGAACCGTAAAACGAAAGTGATTGTGGATGTACAAATTCGACCGGTTCATACATTGGATAGACGATCCGCAGTACTCGGTCAGGCCGAAGACACGGTGGAAGCGAGTCTGTTCGCGGCCGGAGAGGAAGCATTCTACAAAGCAACTGAGTAAGCATCACGTGAAATTCGACCCCCTTTTTCCACTCAGATGTGCGAGATTGTTTTTGACTTTCTCAATCTTTCATGCATAAAGAGGGCATTTTTTGTCAGATGTTTTACGCTGTTTACATCCGTTCAAACCGTATGCTGGTGGACACTGGCTGGTGAACAAGACGATGATAATTATAACTACAGAAAGTATTTATGTGGCTAAGTGAAACTTGTAAACATTTTTACATCAATTGAAACTTCAACGGCAGTAAGCGATTTCGTTTTTCTAGCGATATATTAATTCTAGAAAATGTACTGTTAGGCCACTTCTCTGACGTTTTGCTCAGCACTGACAGATACCTCATCTAGTACAGATAAAAATCACACCTCATCTCCGCACCCTTCGCATTGGATTTCTCACGTCAGATTTGCCGTGAAAACCAAGCGCTATGATGTGGTGCTTGATGCAGTCAGACACTATTGGACCGTTTGTAATCAACCAGCTATAGCCATCACCCCGGACGTGAAATCGCTAATCAAGAACTATCCCGTGGTTCGAGAACATCTCACAAATTTGATTGATGAACTCACTCAAAGCCTGGACCCAACCCATCGTGCTCAGTTGAATGAGGAAATTCGAGCACAAACTAAGGGAGATGTCACACCAACAGAAAATGACAAACTGTTGTCAAATATAGAGCCATCTGCGGAGCAATCAACGGAATCGCCAGAGGAACAGAGTATGTTTTTTTTATGAATAGATTTGTTCTGCGAATTAATCAGTTGTACCTGTTTTGCAGTCACACGGGTCTGAGTTTGGGAGCGATATGATTGCAATTTTAATTGTAGTTCATGAAATAAACAATAAGAAAAAAACAGGTAAACGATTGATTGTGGTGATTATTCTTTTCGCACATTGTACGTGGAGGATATCATTGTGGGCATTATTGAGGGTAGCTTGTTCATTGTTCACACAGATTGATACATAATTAATACATCAACCGGTGGTTATTCTGAATAAACTTTCTGATGAAACTAGCTGTTCTCACCATGCAAACAGATATTTTCATGCGTTGACTTTAACCGCCTCCAAAAAATATACTTTTGTTTAAAAGATCAACTAAATACTGTAGCTGTCATACCATCTCTAAAGTATAGTCAATATAAATGAATAGCTATCATATGTGGAAGATTACCGAACCCGGCTGCTCACGCATTACTGCATGAATCTCATGAAATAATAGTAGAAATATCACCACTATTGAATGGATAACATCAATATTAGCGATTGAGCACTTACCACATCACTTGAAGTATATTGATTGCTGATTGCTGTGTTGTGTATTTCACTCGGCCACAAATGCTTAACAAAGCTGCTGGTGATTGAAGGTTACTGGGACTGAAAATAACGGCAGCAGATGTTTCTATAGTGGGTCGGTTTGAGCTGTTCGGCTGGAGATGATTAGTGGACAATCAGAGAGACATTGGACGATTGATCTAAACCAGTAGAACTTTATTCACGGAGTACTGAGGTCTTGCTCAATTGAATTTTGACAGTTCCTCTATTCTCGAAGCTGTCATATATTGATCTTAATATATGCCGTTCTTATATACCCGTTCGTCTAATTTTTCAGGCGGGAAAATCAGTAGTATTTTTGCGCAGATGCTGAGGGATGTAATTCATCAGGGCGGATTAAAATAGAGGTATTCAAGAACTTCAGCCTAATGCAACGAAAGTAATTTTCATCATCGAAAACATTTAAGAAGAAACCGGACTTCACTGGTTGTCTTCCCGCTGGTATTTTCAAATCGTTTCCTCAGTCCATCCAGTCAACCATACACTCGTTGAGCACTAAATGCAAGTTGAGCTCTCATAAGGGCTCATCAGTTGTGAAAACCTACCGTCCCTTCCAAGGTCTACATTCGGAACCCTTAGCATAAACGGTGTGCATGTGTGTTACTGCTGTATTGTTGGCTATATGAACTTATTGCTGGGCAGGAGATGAACTTCTTGAAGACCGTCATTCAAATCAGTGTCCTATGATAAATAATCACGAGTGACTGCAAGTCAACTGTTACTTAATGGTTCCGGGAAAAAATACCAGAAACTATTCTGCATAAACACTATACCTAATCCATCCTGGATAGTAGACTATTGTTCGAAGAAAATCTTCTCTTCCTACTTTTCTCCAAGCAGAGCTTATAACTTTGGACTACCCTCTGGGGTCCAGAAGGCTTGCCTTCATGGATCTAAAGATTAAATTAGATCACCAGCTCCGAAATTCGAAAATCTTGTCCAATTTTCAGCCTGAGGCATCAGTTCACCTTTTTATGATTCTGCGTTGAGTTAAAATGTAATACAAATCTTTTGAACGGCCTGATCTGAACTATCGTGCATTGGTGTAATTATTTGCTAAATAACGAACTTCTTTTCTTAGTTTCCATCAATTAAAGTTTCTTGTTTCCTTCCATGTAACCTGCTTACTGACTGTTTCAGTGGGTAATCTGTTTGCTACAACCCGAGTCACTCGTCCAACACTAAAACAGTTCGAAGTGGATCTCAACTTGCGCATTCAAATTTATTCCAGCCTGTTTCACGTTTTTGAAATGGAAGTGAGTTCTCTTTATTGTACGTTTGAAACTATGAAGCTAATTCAAAAATTGTCCCCGGTCATTTGTGTTTCTTGGCGGTACGGATGAATTGTCTATCGCAAGTTTCGGGAAAAATCACACCTGAACAAGTCAAACCATCATTTATTTGTGAGTATTCTAGCAAATCAAATGGGACTTCCTCAAAAGATACTTTAGGAGACGCACTGAGTGTTTCCTGGAAAGGGAACGAGTCTTTGCTCACTGTTAGGATAATTTTAGCTTTTCGAAGACACAATAGGATGGTAGATATTGCGATATTACGCAGTGACCATCAGTCTATCCAGACGCTCATCAGCTGAGCAGATTCTACGTTGACAGCCATAAAACCTGGTGAGAGTGGGCGAAGAAGATGCCGATCCCGTTTAGTAGTTGTGTTTTTCTGGAGGAGAGTTTAGGCTTGACAAACGTACACAAACCTAATGTCTGATTGTTTCAGTTATTGCTTTTTCCGGCTATCATTCATGAGTGACATGAACAGATTCATTTACACTTTGATGAAAAGCAGCATAGTGCAAGCAACCGATCTGAATGTTTTCGAGGTATACTTCAACAGTTTATATGAATAACAAAACGGTACAAGTGAATAATTAACCCACTATTTCGATATCTAATGAACTTACTAGTGCATATCCTTGGGTTTATTCAGAAACATAAGGAACTTGTGATTCAATCCTTTTCCAGGGTAAAATTGACGCTGGACTGAAGCTACTCACCGATGCGCTGCAACGTTTCCCTCGAACACACCATAGACTGTGAGTTTAGCCGTTCCTGATGGTCTATTTCGATATGCTGAGGCTGTTTAGGCAGTGTTTCACAATGATAGATTCGAGAGGCCCAGATTACCAAAACAACAGAGTTTTCTTGCTGTCTACTGTGTTAATTCATTTATGGGACCAAAAAGACTTTCGTTAGATCACGGATGTTACAGTTCAAGTTACATCTCCATGCTCTAGCTTCGTAGTGTTGATCAGGTGAGGCCAAACGATTTTAAACCCTAAGTTTTGCAAGTCATTGTGAAGCGTGATGAGACAACTGGCCGAGAAACATTGAGACCCTGCTTCGAATATTGAANAGTTAAAAATCAAGATCAGTAACGATGATGCGTTTAAGGTCACCATAATATTGCTTTGCTAGTTGTCTGTTTGAACCTCTCCGCCATTTTGGTTGTATCACGTATAGTAGTACGTATATTGATCGCTTACTCTTTACTGAAAGTTGTTTGCACAAATGTATATGCAATAAAACGTTTGTACAAAAAAATCAAAACAAAACAAAATAATAATGGCTGTGACATACCTTCACTGTCGCACCGTGGTACAGAGAGTGCAACGCTATGGATTGAGGAGCATCCGGTTTGTGAAAAGTAGGTAAAAAATAAAAATGAGCTCAATAATGTGCTAAAAATTCCTGTCAAAGTTCTAAACGATATCTGTGTATGGGTTCAACAAATAAAAGCAATGTGACAAGTCAATTCTACTCAAACTTGGTACCTGTATGTTAATTTGAATACCTAAACGGAGTGTGCGTAAAATGCAGTGATTGGGAAGTGTGGATTGTTTTCCCCACTTTTTCGCATCCTTGATCAGTGAACGCCTCGGTGCCACGTTTGTTCAAACGGTTGGTGAAGAATGCATCGGTACTCCATACATTCACCTTTGGGGGTTTGCGACTGAACGAGAACCATTCGAATTCTGTGTATGGTACTGATAATCACTAGTGTTCTGCATGTGGAATATCGCGTATGCTAGTGCCTAAGTCATTCAGCATGGCGTACTGGGATCGTCTATGTTCAGTAGTTTAAAATGGGCCGATTTATATGGAAAATGAAGCAACAGTTTAAAAGGTTAAATTAAATTTTAAAACATGCTAAATTTTGACAGGGCTAAACTATGAATCTATTTATCTGAAAAGACAAAAATGAGGCATCTGGTAGTGGTTTCTGTATAGCGAACAAGGTAATTTTTGTCTGGCACAAAAACAATAATTCTAATTCAATTTATATCATAATAAAATGGTGAAACGTTTATGTTCTTGTTTTCTGCATTCTGTTTATCCGAATTTTCTTCATTTGTTCCCCAAATCCAGTCTTCTGCTTCCAGGGAAATTTTTTGGTCAATCATATATAGATGCTGGTACATCAGTAACTTTAAAACCCGAAGACAGTCATTTTCTGAAAGGATCAAGTTAAAATGTCTGTCACAATACTGTTGTCTTTAATCCCCGAAACAAACTAAAGCGTTTATCTGTATTCTTTGTTGTTCATTGTATCAGCAGTAACAAATGTAATTAGATTTGTGCCTTTCAGAATATCTTGGAGGCAATCATGCATCTATGTATATCCATTATGTTGAAGACCTTGATTTTGAGACACCGGAATAGTGTAAATCAGTAGTTAGGCCCAGGATGCAATCAACGTGTATTGCTATGCGGCATTCACCCAGTTAAGACTGAGAAATGAGCGCATGCACATATTATCTCTCCGTTCCGTGCACATGCCTGTACATCTATGCTGTGACTACAATACAGAAGGCGGTGAGATATTTCAAGGATAAATTAATGGGCCAAGTTATCTCTTCTTCACTACAACACCAGAGTGACAGTTACAAAGCGAAACTCGTTCTATGAATACCGAACAGCGAAGGGGTCCAGTCCCATTCTAACTTCCCATTAGAGACGCAGTTCAACCTTGGTATTTACGGTTATGTTCTGTTTAGCAATTTTTATTTCGAACCAATTGTGGATGGTGAGCGGCGATTATGCACGTTCATCGAATGTGTTGAATACTATTATCCGTGGAGATTTGTAATGACTATATCAAGGCGAAGAGTCAACGCTGACCTCACCCTCTTTTCTAAAGTTAACCAGACTGTACTTACAATCAGGAATTGGAGTGTAAGCTTCATCCTTGTACTAGATTTATGCTGGCAGCATTAAAAGTGAAGTTCTGATTTTGCATTCCTAAAATAAAATCATTTTAAGTTCAGAATGAATCACGAGACTGTGCATGGCTTGTTTCCTACATCCTACGGCATGATTTGCCTACTTTGCTCTTGCGCAATTTCTGTCATCCGGTTACTAAATAATTCAGTATGTTTGTGTCGTCCGATGTTTGACTTATTTTCACATCTGTTCCCGTTCAGTGTTTCAGTACAATTATTCTGATATTCGATTTCAGACCTTTATTCCGTCTTTTGGTCAAAACAAAAGCCATGCTCGACAAGCCGTATCAACTGGACATGCAAAAGTTTTCAGTGAGTCTATTTTCACTCACTACTTTGTGGCTTCATTTTACTATCACTCAACAAATTCATTTACGGTTAAGAGGCGTAAAGCACATGGGCCAGTCACATGCTCAGTTTAGTTCAGTTCAGCTTATCCTATCATCAACCGTGCACATTTTTGTGACAGTTTTCAGTGCTGTCTTTTGGCTGTCCATTTGAATGAAGGGGCAGAAGAAAGATTGAAAAGCTGTGGGAAGTATCGAAGAGAAAATGGAGAATTTCACTGGACTAAAAAGAAAGTGAGAAGATGCATGAGCGCCACTGTTTACGACACTCAGCCATTTCATTCAGTGTCTCTAGTCTTTGATTATAATAATCCTGAGGTCCCCATCAAGGGAGCCTAACGCGACCTATGCTACCGAGCCCCTTGGTTAGGTCTTCCAGACCCTCATGACAAGTCGTAGCTTGTCCACAATTATACTTCAGCGGTAGGTTATCCAGAAACAGAAACTTGGTATTACAGAGTGCCGAGAAAATGTAGGGCTCTTACATACCAGGTGGTGAAAAGATTCCTAGTAATTGTCCTGGTCTAAGGTTAATGATCGAAGGATCAGTCGATGCAGGTCCCTGTGTATATAGAAGAATGGTCAGTTCGTTAGTTGTTATGATTTTTCTATACTCGTATCAGTTGGCTCATTTTTTCCCGTCATGTTCTTAATCCTAAGCCAAGGCAATTGAAGCACGTGGACCAGTCTCTTTGACGGCACACAGATTTGGGCATATTAGGCGAATGGTGATCACCCTAACCGTATTCAAACTCAGACTGCCTTCCATCAGTTGAGTGTAGCCCGCAAAACAACAGTCAATGCTTCCTCTGGTTCAATGTTTTGTTCGGTGTCTACGAGATAACCCAAGATTGCCCTGGAGATGGTATCAGTCTTCCTCTGACTTAACCACCGCTGGTGGTGTTCTCTACCATGTAGAGATTGATTCAATGACAATACTGTTTCATGTGTGTGAATTTACCTTATAAAGAATACTCTCCCTAATTCGATATTGTTTCAGAATCAGTCGGAAAATAGACAAGCTGAGTTGTGGCGCGAGTTAGCTTATGTCACTATCCAACCGGTCGACCAATTCAATGCATTTCGCCAGGCGATCGACGTTCTCAAGGTCAGTGTTTGTTTTTTAGTCACATTTTTGTTTTCCGTGCATTGTACCGCATTTTGTTTAGTATTGGATAGTGGATAAAATGCGTTTATTCGTATGACAATCGCTGGAGCTCAGGAATAGTGGTGAGCGTATCTCCGTATATGTATACATATTCACTTGATAAGAAAATGAAGCTTACGAGCCCTAACTCCCTAACTCGGGAGATTGACATGACAATAGATTACTCGATTCGTACACCTGATGAGTGACAAGAACAGCGGAACCGGTCGTGTTCTGTCGGGGAAATTTTATCGATTCATTCATTCATTCATTTGCTTAGGCGAGATGCATCTTCCCCACAAAACTACTATAGGATCATATCAATGATTCTTAGTTTTTAACTTATCTCCAATCGTTTTCGGTTTGCAATATAAACACATATATATATATGGATTATTAGGTGCTAGACTGTAAAACTCAATGAATGATTGGTAGGTGGGGCTGGTATATTGTGTGTCCTTTTACAAACAAAAAATAGTTTTGGATGGAAGGGAATAGGGATGAGATGCATGAGGGTTAGGACAGCGTCAAGGTTAACCATGTCAAGTTGAGGTCACTGTGTCATGAAAGTGATACACTCCAATCATGAGATTGAATTCATACCGGTGCATGTCATTTGAGGCACTTTGACTAATCGCTTTTGGGAATAAAGCTATGGATTAAGCGAGTGAATGGCTAGTTCTTGGATTCTATGTAGAAAAATGACTGGTGGTTCTAGCTGCGTAGCTTTCAAAAGTCAGCAGACAGATGAATCCGTAAACACATAGGAGGCAGAGATATGACATCATAGAAGTAATCAATTGACCAGTGAAGCGATAGCGTGAGCGCGTTACTGTAAATACGCTTGTGATTGCTCTTTCGAGAAGTCTACAGTAAATAATTCCCGTTTTTCGTCTCCTTTGAAACGGAGCTGCATATACAGATCATTCTTATTCTCTATTATCATGGAAAGTTCCCCGGGTGTCTCCGATGAACTTATCTCTGAATGAAGAGGAAAAATAAATCAGCATATACCGATATATGAACACAGTATATAAATATATATATAACAAAAATAAAGAACTGATAATGAATATATCTTTTATAAAATTCCAGAATCCGAAACACCAAGCATTGAAAGCCGAGTTGTTTCTAGAATTCTCCCAGTGGTTGTATAATCATCGATTTGAGGCCACCACATGTATTGAGCTGATTGAGCAAGCAATTGATTTGCTCCTTACATACAATCCTGCACAACTGGCTGAGATATCAAATAATTCCCATGGACGGAACAGATCAGGTATGTCATTGTAGGTTCAAACAGGTTTTGATCTAGTAGTTTTAGTTTAGTTTGTTTCCCAATGCAGAATTTGAAATTCCTCTTATAAATTCAATACTTTAATCAAATGCTTATTGCTCGTGAGTCGGAAGAGCGAAATCTGTAAGATGAGGCTCCTCAGCGTTTCTGTATTTCTTACACTCTGTTCCCTCATCTCTTCGAAACCAGGGTTGTTTTGGTCGTCCTTCTTGTCCTTTTTGTGCAGCTGATTGGCTAATTAGCACTCGGTGCACGCGAATGGGCATAAAAATTCTGAATCACTCGTGAATAAGTCCACCTTTCTGTGAGGAGCAGTTCCTTACCACCTGTCCTGTAATGGTGGATTTTTTCCATTTCAATTGACCCACCATGAAAATTTACCGTCTTTCGGTCTGCTTATCCCTGTGACTCCTTTGTCATCAATGCAGAACTTCTGGCTAGATTAGATTCTGTTGAATATTTTGGCCTAACTATCTGGGCAAATTTGTATTTGTGTATCTATGTATTCCACTCACGTCTGGGCATATTTAAGGAGAAAATCTTGTCTACAAATGTGGGAAGGAACTTCGAGCACTGTCAGTTCATAACTGAAAACCCAGATATTTGAACGATAGCAAACATGTATTTTCAAGTGTGCCTCGTTGTGTTTTCTCTATTCTTGTGTATCTTTTGCCTCTCATTTTTTCTGCAATTCTTGAGAAAGATATCAAATTATCCCCGGTGGACTGTTGATCGTCAGTCATGTGTCTGTTGTAAATGTTGATGAAAGATTTGCACAAAAAATCCTGATCTGATCTCAGTAATTCCCTAAATGGCAATTCATCTGAATGTAACTCTTACATTCCAACAGATTCTGAATTTTCTCCCCAATTCGATCGAATTTTCACACATTGGGAACGTGTTTCTGTCCAACTTCTGAATAATATTTGAAGTTTAATCATGTGAGGTTTATTATTTTCATAAGTTAAAGTACAAAAAGTAAAGACTATATTACCTGATTTACGCCCAGGACGATTTCGCTGCATTTCAACATGAAGCATCCTGCAGAAAATGCAATGGATATGTTTGGCTTTAGCATGGTAACAAAGTGAAGTAAAATACGTTAAAACAGACCGAAATGAAAATACGGACCGAAAAGTGGACATTTTTCCACGAAAAAGTCTAAAGAAATACAAATGAAAATAATTTAAGCTGAACTTGCTGATCTGCATGGTCTGCATGTGAATACCGTCTTATCTCTCATTCGGGCATGCTTAAAATTGATACTGAAACAAATCGCTGATGCTTTTTTATGAACTGTACATCGCCACCATAAACGTCTTGGTGTTTCTGCTCCTTTTCTTTCATATTGGTTTCGCTTTTATCGTTTTTCACTCTGTTGTACAAGTGCGCACCGTATTCCATTAAATCGGTGGTCACTGCTTTCGTACTTGGTTTGTAAGTGCTTAATTTATTGCAGTTTACCTTCTTCCTGAAAGTTGTTTGTGGAGTTGTACATTCCATTAAGGGCAATTAAAAAAGCTTTAGATTAAACTTATCCATCGAATTTTTCCCCGTTGAATTCAAAGTACTAACTTCAATATATCAATGTCGGTCGTGATCCTATGGCACCGGGTGCTTCGCAATTCCTCACTCGATTTCCAACACCGACACTTCTTATCATCTCTCACATCATCATCATCTTTGGTAGATCTCGAGTCGAGGAAACCTATTTTCTCGTAAACCAGTTAGTAACAGGACTCATATTGGTTGCTCGGCAAGACCGATTTACTGAGGGGCCGAAAGAACTCTGATCCCGTTGGCCTCAGTAAAGCAGATAAGAAATGGTAGCAAGCGCAGTATTCAACAAAGGAGCAAACACAGGTAATCCACCGAACACAGATTCCGTGCTTCTGTTTGTCTAACCATCTCCACATAATTGCGGCTTCACACACTGGCCACTGCTGATCCAGCAGCTAGCCCACGCATTCCAGCGACCTTGGACGTAATTCAATTAACTCACACTGAATTCACGATTGAAGCGACGTAGTGCTTCATAATACAATGTACTCCCAAGCCGTGCTCCCACTGAAAATCGGACAATGCTCAGCTTAGGTCCAATTAAAGGTCAAAATTTAGACAAACCAAATGCTTACACCATCTGCATAGGCAAGTGTGAGACTCATTTAAATGCATTGTTTGCCTTCGAATACAAATGCTTAAGTTGCTTATCAAGTACAAAAGAATTGCGGGTTTTTGTAACAAATTATTATGTTTTTGCCCACAGTGCCTCAATTCATTTGCATGTTAACATGTCACAAATAACTGTACAACTTCCATTGAATATAGCCCGAATGACTGTTTTGCAAAATACTATTTCGTGTTCCCAATAAAATCCCAGATGCTGCTTTTGTCTTTCAACGTTTAGCAAACAGATCAGCCACCAAGAAATCCGCTGGTAAACAGGAAAACAAAAAGCTCGATGCCAAATCCCGACCAAACGCAGAACCCGGATGTGAGTGAATTGAGTGTCTTGAGATATAAAGGAGCATTGAATACGTGCATTGTGCGGAGGATACCCGTATGATAGGAAGAAACATGTTGTCGAATGTTGCAAATATTATGTATACCTGAGGTGAAAAAGAAACTTGATGGTGGTTCTCTCATGGTTTGGGCAAACATCAGCTAAAATTCTTACTGAGGAGTCAAGGTAAACGTTTTCGTCGGAGTAAATAAAATGGTATTGTTATCATACAGATGGATGTGAAGGACATGCAGATAAATAATTATACATTGAAAATATTGTTTGTAAAGATTTTCCTGTCCTTGATATGGTGATTACATAATATTTTGATGAGGTTATCGACGAAAAGGAGTGAGACACGATCTATTATCGTTTAACCGCAGCGCATCGTCTGTCAGTCTCTCTCTCGGATAAACCAGAGAGCAATCACGGGGGAGCAGTAAAGCAAAAGGGGCAAAAACCGGTGTGTGAATGAAAAATCAGTAGTGTGTTGTCTGAATTTACGAGTTAGAAATAGCGGTTGTTCATTTCGGAAGCCTAGTCGTATTTGATAGATAAAACTTCAGATACGGACAGATTTCCTTTTTAGCAGGTCATCCGGGATCAAAAGAGAGAGAGAGAGGAGGAGTGAAAATACATTCATACCACTTGGATGTGTTAGCATGAAATCCAAAAGGAAGCCAGAAGTTGTGAATATCATAAGCAATTTTGGTGCAAATGGGAACTTGCCTAACAGAGTAACAGGTCGTCAGAATTCTTAAGGATTTTAACCGGAGCATCAATCACCAAATAAGAGATGTATGTGGTAAACGTGTAGAAGGGTCTTTCATTGGTCATTTTACATTGATTTCGTTTGGAAAATTAGTCTTTCAATCGAATAAACTAGGAAGAAGGACAATGGAAGCATTCTATCTTGTGGAGAGATGCAGCTAGCAGGGCACTGAGTCAAAAGCAGAGTTATAATCAAGAAGAACAGTTCAAAAATCTGACGAATAAACGAAAAACGAAGGTGACCGCATCAAGTAAACAAACTTTATGAATCACTGAAAATAATTGTTTACCTTTCATGAACAAGCAACTTATTGTGAGAAAACACAAAGTAGCGAACAAGCTCGTTTGCGTTGATTCTTCTACAGGCTAATACATCTTAATTTACGTCAAACTTTTTGGCAGGGGGGAGAAATGAAGACAAGTTGGAAAGAGATGATCACCATTCCAGTTACACGACCGGATGTCATTCACAATTCGGTCCTCACACACGCGCACTTGTTTGGGTCATTAGGGGTGGGTGGGGGGATGGCTGTGTCGTGTGTGGTGTTGACCATGGAAGATCGAGTGTGTTCTTACGAATTGTTTTTGGGAGCATAGGGCCCCCCCCCTGTTCTCCCAAAAACAATGTAAGTGGATTCCGATCGCTTCCACTATGGCCAAAATGCGACTCTTAGATCGGCGGGTGCGGACCAAGTAGAGGGGTTGAAACGCCTCGGCCACATTAATTACGTGGTTTGATTCCATCAGGTATGAAACAATTGAGCTAATAATGGTCCTAATTACTCCACTATTCAACCAGGCAGGGTGATACTCACGGACTCGCTCAGATAAACGTCTGCTCGTGCGGCCAATGTAACCTTGCCCCACAGGAACAGGTAAATAGGTATACACAGAAGGAGACAGCAGAAACAGGCAATTTATCTTTGAGTTCAAAGCGCAGAAGTGGCCTGGAGATGAAAATAATACGCAGTTTAGCCGCGGGGAATGCTTTTTCTACAACTGTACAGAGCTTACGTGTCCTCATATCGACAGTTGTGTCGCCCTTGAAAGGTAGCGATAGGTAAACCGGTTTCTTCTCCGCAGTAATGGTCTTATTTGGCAACCGATGACGACCCAGAATGTTGTCCACAAATCGCACGGGGTATCCGTTTTGAAGGAAAACATCTCGAATAAACCTCAGTTCTGCATCAGTCGTATCGTCCGAACCTATTCTTCGTGCCCTGGTAGCGAGGCAATGAATCAGGTTTCTTTTCCGTTCCAAAGGCACATCGCTTTTGAAATGGATATACTGATTTTTCCACAATGGCTTCATGTGGATGGCGCGTTAGATAGTTCCGTCTGGTCGGCGGCTTAGTAGAACGTTCAGAAATGCAAACTGCTCATTCTCTTCGTTCTCTAGAGTAAACTTAATGTTTGGATGAGCTGAATTAATTACTTTCAAGAGTCTTGACAGATGCACACTCTCATTGACAAAGCACAAAATATCATCCACACAGCGCTTGTAAAATGTGCAACGATCAATTGTTCGTTTTAAGATGTTATTCTCCAGGTTTGCCATGAAGATATTAGTGAACAATAGACCCAGAGGAGATCCAATTGCTACTCCATCTATTTGGTGATATACTTCGTCATTGAATTTGAATTGTACATTATGTGTGCAAAAGTATAGTAAGTGTTTGAGACCACCAACTGGCATTCCAACTTCACAATTATTACTTTGTATGTAGTCACATATGTATTCAGTAGTTTCATCAATTGGAACGTTAGTGAAGGGTGAACTGACGTCGAGTGATAACATGCGTATTCCGTTTATGTTTATGTCGTTAATACTAACCACTAAGTCGTGGGAATCCTTTAATGTGTGATTGGCGAGTTTTACTCGCAACTAATGTAAAATCATCTACAGCCTGAATAGATGTTCATGTTAGCACCCAGTATCACTTTCTATTAAAATCCTTTTCGAATTAATGTGATCATTTCCTATTAGACAAGATACTTGTGGTATTGTTACACCGGTGACTGCAATGAAGTGTAACTTAAAAACCCAACATAAAAAACTGTGAATCATATAGTGACTGTCATTAGCTCGGTACGGGTAAACTAAATTTGTTTGAAGAAATAAAAAATGTGTGTGAATACACGCGTTTTCATACAGGCGAGAACATATATCAGCACAGAACAGATTGAAATTAACTGCCTCGCCTTATCCCTTTGTTATGTACAAACACATATGTGAAATTTCAACCAGAACAATGGCAAATCTTTAAACACCAAATGCACTCGATTTTTTGTTTTGTTCGATCCCAGTGTAAATCTGTTTGTCGGGGAATTGATCTTGGTGCACTGGGAGTTACAGTTGGATTTCTATTGACAAATTGTGCAGTCGATACTTCTAAAAATATTGTACCAGCAAATATGAAGTTTTGCGTGTCATTTTTGACTGTTCTGATCTGTTTATTTCAGCTGCTACTGTTCAAAGTATTGTGGACAATTTCGAGTTGTGTCAAAGTGTTGATCGTTTAGATGCACTCGTTCGCAGCTATGTGCTCTTGGCTGAAATGCTCCGGAACTCGGGACAGACGGATCAGATGGGCAGTGGCTGGTCCGATTATCTACATTTGGCTGTGGTCTGTGTTCAGCAAATTTGGCGGGTGCGTGCATTGTAAACCCTGTTAAATGCATTTACTACCATACTTTTACAACTGCATGATTAGATCGTGTTTTCCCCCTGTCATGACGCAACTGCGGTCATCTCCAGTTCACGATCCATGGCTCATCGGTTGTGATCTCTCACGGTTTATTTGATTGCGGTCATTGACCAGTCGCCAAAAGCGACACATTCAAGTCCTGTAGGCGAATGGCGATCGCCTCGGCCATAGCTAGTGTCCAAACTCTGGCCGCCCTTGAGCGATTGATTGGGATGCGATAAACCACATCAAAAGCTTTCTCCGGATCGATCTTGTGGCCGGTGTCGATGAGATGCCCCACAATGGCGCTTGAGATACAGCCGGTTTTTCCCTGACTCAACCATCGCGGGTGGTGCTCCTTAACACGTTGA